TCCGTAGCCATTACTGCTTTGTTTTTCAGTCACTTTGACAACATTCAAGAGGGAAATATACACTAAATTTTATCAACATACATTGAAAACATCACATCTTACCTACTACTTGATTTAAATAAATAATTTAAAATAAAATTAGCAAAACCTACCGCTTCTGTGAGGTTTTCCTGGAGAAAAACTTTCAAAACAAAACAAACAAGAAAATCGAAGACGAAGTGTTTATCCGCGTTTGACGTCAGTCTTGGCAGCCAGGGTACAGACGTAAAAACGCACAAGTTGTTACAAATCTGTTCACAATCTGTTCAATCTTATGCACGCTGACGTCATAATTATAAGAAAGGTCTATTAGTATTTATACACTTACAGTAGTTATTTAAATTAGGAAATCATGTATAAAACAGGGCGTTTTTTAAAATAAATAATTTTTAAACATATGTCTGTTGACGTTTTTAACACAAAAACATTTTGGCAGGTACAGAAGTAAAAGAATGGTATTAATATTATTTAGATGAAGTGCCTCGCTGTTGTTATATGCTGAATATCGAAACATTCAGTGACATCTTCAAAGTGCATGACATCATCGTGCTCTCCTCTATAAAACAAACAAATTTCTGGTCTGTCCTTTTGGAGTCCGTTACGAATGAGTCGATCAAAAATTCAAATTTACCGATCCGATAAATTCCGATCCGATTTGCCATTCGATCGGCCGTTACCGCATTTGCTAAGAGGAGTTTCCAACACTCGAAATTGAGGCAAAATGCTAGCAAAACATAACAAGAGTTAATCAATTTATTTCGGAAAAGCATCCCGGCCTGTAGATGAGCCAGAATGATATTTATTGGACCGCCGATACATGCCGATGTGGTCGACCGATAACCGATCTACCAGAAAGTTTTCGATCACCGCCTTTTTTAATTTACGATTATACAGTAGGATCATCCCAAGGCAATACAAGTCACATGCAGTATTGATATACAGTCCTCCCAATCAGCTTAGGCATGAGTCGCAATTACCGAAGCAAATGCTGAAACAATGTGAGAATTTCTAATTAATGACATGATTATGACTACAGGAGTATGACCACATATGACTCCTCCTGCGGACCGTTACCCTGCGGCATTTTGAAAGTTATATAGCAAAAATAAATTTGATAGGGAAGCGTGCTGGGTATATAACAGCAGTCAAATACATGTATGTTATGTATATAAATATAGTTACGTCTTAATGATTCATGTAACGAAATTAATGTTAACTTTGGACTTTCAAACAAATGCAGTATGTAGGTCACCTATAATTGTAATAGTACGTTAATAACATAAACACATACCATCAGCAATTTCGCCAGATCGCTCATTCTCTCTCGTAGGAAAGTAAGGGAGTAACTCCTTCTCATTGGATCTGGTATCTGTACCGGAGCACTCTTCGCCAATGAGCTGCCAGTCTTAGCCACAACGCTAACAATATGAAGTACTTTCCTGCCAGTTTGCACATGGACATTCTTCTTTTGCGTGTTTGAGGTAGTGTCTGGCAAATTTTCTATATGCGAAAATATAGCCGTAAGATTCAGAGAAACTGAGCGACAAAAATAGTTAAATGTTATCAGGCCGTTCCAGAGGCTTTAGAGAGTTTCCTATAGCTATACGGTTTCTGCGCAGTAGTTTCCCTTAAACAACCTAAAAAACAGTCTTGGCAGCCAGGGTACAGACGTAAAAACGCACAAGTTGTTACAAATCTGTTCACAATCTGTTCAATCTTTTCACAAGCTGTCGACAAGTTGTGTTCGCACTGTTTGTTCCCAGTTGTTGTAACAAGTTTGGAACAAGCTGTTAACAACTTGTAACAAGCTTGATGGCATTATCAGACTTGTAGCAAAGTTGTTCTAACAAGTCTGATACAGTCATGATATAACAACTAACAAGAATGTTACAAGGTTGACGACCCAAGGTTGTAACAATATTGTTATATCATGACTGTATCAGACTTGTTGGAACAACCTTGCAACAAGTCTGATAATTTCAGAACCATCCTCTGCGATACGAAAAACTAGTTTCATATTATTCTGACACTGCAATCGACCAACGAAAAATTCGTTGGCTCTAGCGGGATTTCGGTCTTGATACCCGAAGATGCGAGTTCAAATCCTGCTCGAGCCAACGAATTTTTCGTTGGTCGACTGCAGTGTCAGAATAATATGAAACTAGTAAGTCTGATAATATCAACAAGGTTGCTACAAGTTGTTAACAGCTTGTTCGAAACTACACACGTAAAAACGCACAAGTTGTTACAGGTCTGCAAACAAGTTGTTGACATGTTATGTTCGCACTGCTTGTTCCAGTTGTTGTAACAAGTTTGGAACAAGCTGTTAACAACTTGTAACAAGCTTGATGGAATTATCAGACTTCTAGAAAAGTTGCTCTAACAAGTCTGATACAGTCATGATATAACAAGAATGTTACAAAGTTGATGAGACAAGGTTGTAACAATATTGTTATATCATGACTCTATCGGACTTGTTAGAACAACCTTGCCACAAGTCTGATAATGCCATCAAGCTTGTTACAAGTTGTTAACAGCTTGTTCCAAATCCGTTGACAACTTGAAACAAGCAGTGCGAACACAACTTGTTGACGGCTTGTTGGCAGACTTGCTACAAGATGCGAGATTTTGTCGCATGAAGATCGCACACCCAAAAATCTAACATGTTGTAACAAGTTTGTCAACAAGCTGGGAACAAGCAGTGCGAACACATCCTGTTGAAAAGTTGTTGGAACAGCATTGCTACAAGTCTGCTGCAAGTTTGTTACAACTTCTGCATTCTTACAGGTGTAGTATACATGCGTTAAAATGCACAGCTTGTAACAAGTCTGCAAACAAATTGTTACAAGTCTGTTCACAAGCTGTCAACAAATTGTGTTCGCACTGCTTTGTTCCCAGTTTGTTGTAACAAGTCTGCAAACAAGTTGTTACAAGTCTGTGCTAACAAGTTTGTTACAGCCATGACATAACAAGGATGTTACAAGGTTGTCAACACAAGGTTGTAACAATCTTGTTACATCAAGTATGTAATGGACTTGTCAGAACAACCTTGCAACAAATCTGATAATTTGGACAAGGTTGTTACAAGTTGTCAACAAGTTGTTCCAAACCTGTTGACAACTTGTGACAAGCAGCGCGAATACATCTTGTTGGCGGCTTGCTGGCAGACTTGTTACAAGATGTGAGATTTTTGTGTGTGTAACTTGTAATATACATGTCAAGAGAGTTATTACGTACACATGTAAAAACACAAGTTGTCACAGGTCTGCAAACAAGTTGTTACAAATCGGTTCACAAGCTGTCGACAAGTTGTGTTCGCACTGCTTGTTCCCAGTTGTTGTAACAAGTTTGGAACAAACTGTTCACCATTTGTAAAAACCTTGTTGATATTATCGGACTTGTTGCAAGTGTGTTCCAACAAGTCTGCTACAGTCTTGATATAACAAAAATGTTACAAGTTAACGACACAAGGTGGTAACAATATTGTTGTACCATGACTGTATCCTTGAATACAATTGTTGGAAAAACCCTGCAACAAGTCCAATAATATCAACAAGGTTGTTACAAGTTGTTAACAGCTTGTTCCAAACTTGTTGACAACTTGGGACAAGCAGTGCGAACACATCTTGTTGACGGCTTGTTGACAGACTTGCTACAAGATGTGAGATTTCTATGCATGTACACATGTAAAAATCTCACATCTTGTAACAAGTCTGCCAACAAGCCGTCAACAAGATGTATTCGCACTGCTTGTTACAAGTTGTCAACAAGTTTGAAACAAGCTGTTAACAACTTGTAACAACCTTGTTGATATTATCGGACTTGTTGCAAGGTTGTTCTGACAAGTCTGTTACATGCTTGATATAACAAGATTGTTACAACCTTGTGTTGACAACCTTGTAACATCCTTGTTATATCATGGCTGTAACAAACTTGTTGGCACAGTCTTGTAACAAGGCTGATAATGCCATGAAACTTGTTACAAGTTGTTAACAGCTTGTTCCAAACTTGTTACAACAAACTGGGAACAAGCAGTGCGAACACAAGTTGTCAACAAGTTGTTCCAAACCTGTTGACAATTTGCGACAAGCCGTGTGAATACATCTTGTCGATGGCTTGTTGGCAGACTTGTTACAATATGTGAGATTTTTACGTATGTAGTTCACACGTAAAAACACACAGCTTGTCACAAGTCTGCAAACAAGTTGTTACAAGTCTGTTCACAAGCTGTTGACAAGTTGTGTTCGCACTGCTTGTTCCCAGTTGTTGCAACAAGTTTGGAACAAGCTGTTAACAACTTGTAACAAGCTTGATGGCATTATCAGCCTTGTTACAAGACTGTGCCAACAAGTTTGTTACAGCCATGATATAACAAGGATGTTACGAGGTTGTCAACACAAGGTTGCAACAGTCTTGTTATATCAAGCATGTAACGGATTTGTCAGAACAACCTTGCAACAAGTCTGATAATTTCGACAAGGTTGTTACAAGTTGTCAACAAGTTGTTCCAAACCTGTTGACAACTTGTAACAAGCAGTGCAAATACATCATGTTGACAGACTTGTTACAAGATGTGAGATTTTTACGCGTGTACAAATGTAAAAATAGACAAGTTGCAACAGGTCTGCAAACAAGTTGTTACAAATCTGTTCACAAGTTGTCAACAAGTTGTATTCGCACAGCTTTGTTTTTGTAACAAGTTTGGAACAAGCTGTTAACAACTTGTAACAAGCTTGATGGTATTATCAGCCTTGTTACAATGTTCTTCTAACAAGTCTGATACAGTCATGATATAACAAGAATGTTACAAGGTTGACGACACAAGGTTGTAACAATATTGTTATATCATGACTGTATCGGACTCGTTGGAACAACCTTGCAACAAGTACGATAATATCAACAAGGTTGTTGCAAGTTGTTCCAAACTTGTTGATAATCTGGGACAAGAAGTGCTAACACAACTTGTTGATGGTTTGTTGGCAGACTTGCTACACGCGTAAAAATCTCACATCTTGTAGCAAGTCTGCAAACAAGCTGTCAACAAGTTGTGCTCGCACTGCTTGTCCCAAGTTGTCAACAAGTTTGGAACAAATATTATTACACTTGTTGCAAGGTTGTTCCAACATGTCTGATAAAGTCATGATATATAACAATATTGTTACAACCTTGTGTCGTCAACCTTGAACATTCTTGTTATATCATGACTGTATCAAATTTGTTAGAACAACCTTGCTACAAGTCCGATAGTGCCATCGAGCTTGTGACGTACAAGTTGTTAACAGCTTGTCCCAAATTTGTTACAACAACTGAGAACAAGCAAAGTAAACACAACTTGTCAACAGCTTGTGAACAGATTTGTAACAACTTGTGCATTTTTACCTGTGTACAAGATGTGAGATTTTTATGCATGTAGTACATTTTACCTCTTTCCAATCCGCTTCCAGAAAGGCAGGTGGACTGGTGGAGGTTCTTTCACTTGACGCCTAACCTGAAGTTCAGGCCCTATCACAGAATAGGGCCTGACCACAGAATAAAGATCAGTAACAGAAGGGCAACTCAGCGGTGCAACGTGTCCTCGTTTTTTTATGCAAAAATATGCAGTTTACTGGCCAGAAGGCGGAGCAGCCAGCCAGTACAGCGTGTTTATTGGCC